GTACGGCCGACGCCAACTGGCTCGATGCGCCGGCCATCTGTACGCTCATTTGGCTCGCTCGGCCGTCGACGACTCGCGTCTCTTCGGCCCGTTGGCCGGTCGACAGACGGTCGAGTTGGACGATCGTCTCATCATCTCGTTTCCCATTTGCCGCGAGGCGGGACTCGACGCCGCGCCCGGCACTCGGCGTCACTCCGACCGATGCGTCGCCGGCGCGGTGCCGTCGCAACTGGTGCTCGTCGTCGACCGGGCCGACCCGGCGTCACGGCGACAAGTCGTCTCGGCGGCCACTCCGCTTCGGCCCGACGGACTGGCCGTCTGCGCCTCGAGCCACTCGACCGAGTCGGCGTGGATACCGACCGGTTGTCGCGTCTGCGCGTTCGTCGAGCAGCCGACCGTCTGCTTCTGGCTCGGTCGGATGGTCTCGTTCACCGGCTTCCTCGGCGACGTCGACCTGCTCACCTCCGGCATCCTCGCCTATCGGCTCAGTCTGTGGACGCGCCAGTGCCCTTGGCTGCGCGGCGCCGTCTGGGAGGTGCCGACCGGCTCGAGCCCGAGTCCGGACGCGAGCTCGGCGCCGGGCGCCGCGGCCGACGAGACGGCCCGGCGAGCCTGGCGCAGCGTTCGTCTGCGAGAGTTGTTCGACGCCAATCGCCTCGTCCGAGCCCTGCTCCACATGAACGGAGGCGTCAGGGACGACACCCTCGAGGAGGGATGGAATCTGGCCTACATGAAACGCGACGGCATCCGGCGCCTGTTGACCCGCAGCCAGGCCGTCGTGCCGACGCAGCCGGACGTTGGAAGCGATCGCAGTCGTGGCTCTGCCTGCTGCTGCTACTGCTGCTGCTGCTGCTGCCGATGCCGATGCCGATGCCGACGCCGATGCCAATGGCAATGTAGAAACCGAGGCCGAGGTGAAACCCTACGGCCTCATGAGCCGGTCGCTTCGAGAAGCGACGTCGATGACGATTGCTTCAGCGGGAACAGCACCAGTTGCTGTGCCGATTGTACCCAATCGCAGGAGGCCTCCGACACCCTCTGCTCCGAGTCACTGCGGAAGCCAAGCAGGAGGAGGTCGTTCGCTTGAGCAGCCGACGCCCAGCCGCTTCTTGCAGTCGCCCCAGCTTGCGATCCCTCGACTTGGCCCTCTTGCAAATGTGTTTTCTTCACGATTTTTGGTTGAACATAAAATTGCTTTATTTTATTGAAATAAAACTTATT